GGAAAAATTACTCTTGGTTAGCAAAACTGTTTGTAAATGGTATACTATTAAAAAAAAAAAAATGTTACTGTGATGGTTTTCCATCTGTTTGGCACAGAATAGCTAAGCACTACTCCTTTCTTCCATGATGTTTTGCCTACATGAAAAAGAGCAACAAGAGGTTCAGAAGTTAAAAATTCACTAATGAATTCTAGTTCCTAGTACAAGAATCTCACAGTCTTGAGAGACTACTTGGTAAATTTTGAGTTTGCTGATGTCTGGAAAAAAATCACCCTAGATAATTCAGTAGAATTCCTGAAGAAAAATAAATAAATAAATAGAAATTTGCCAATGGATGCTGATACTTCTAGGGTAGATACAGCAGGACCTTTGCGGTATACAATATTGTTTTAAATGGAAAGGAGTAACCATTTCCATAGTGTAATGTCATTAGCCAGATTTCATCACAAATAGAAGTTTTCAGTTTTGTTTGCAAAGCCAGGCAAATTTGATTCACACATAGATGCAGCTGCTGAGTTTGAGTGTAGTTCATGTAAAGTTATGAAAACTCATGTTAAAATTCCATCAGTTACTCCATTCCAGTTTATCTCCATTCATTGAATGTGAGAAGTTTTGGCATCTTGAAAATTTAAAATCCAGATTTCATAGCCTTTGATATAGTATACCTGTTTCTCATCCATTCATAATATGTAAAGGAATCTTGTACTCCTATAACCAGAAGGCACTTGAGGACAGTCTCCTGGGATTTGGAATATGACAGTGAGTTTCAGTTTCACTTTGATGTTTCATTTCATGACAGCCACAACAAATAACCTAAGGTAGCTCTCCTCTTCAAAGAGGAGATCCAATTCCCAACAACAGATGTGGTTTTTGTAGTATTCCTGCCAGGTATGATTTGGATAGCACTGTCATTAGCCTTTCAGATTTTTTTTCTCCTGTTTTCTGAATCATCTTTGGCATTACATTCTATAATCTTATTGTAGCTCAGCATGGCTTTGGCCAAAACTTATGCTGATGTCTCTTGTTCCCCTTGATTATGTCTATTACTATTTTTAATATCTAATTAGTGATGGAGAAGCTTAGTTTCTTTACTGTTCCTTCCTACAGTTGAAAATTTCTGATGAAATCCAGACTTTCATCTGGCATGAACTACTGTAGCTCCATAAAAGTCAACGTTGATTTACATTAGAGAGAGTTTCTCACAAAATGATTGGGAGTTCATATCCTCTTGAGTCATTTTTCTGTATTTTAGGAAGGTCTGTTTAGTTTTTTGTTGTAATTGTTTTATGCATCAGAAATAACACACAGAATTAATTTGTCATTCACTTTCCTCTCTGCCTAATGGGTTAAGAAGTACCATAGTTTTCACAGAATATTAGGGATTGAAAGGGACCTTGAAAGATCATCTAGTCCAATCACCCTGCTGGAGCAGGAACACCTAAATCATGTCACACAGGAACATATCCAAGCAGGTTTTGAACATCTCCAGAGAAGGAGAATTCCACAACCCCTTGAGCATCCAGTTCCAGTGTTCTGTTATCCTCACTGTAAACAAGTTTTGTCTCATATTTAAGAGGAATCTCATATGTTCCAGCTTACACCCATTGCTCCTTGTCCTATCATTGGGTATCACTGAGAAGAGCCTGGTGCCATCCTCCTGACACTCACCCTTTACATATTTATGTATATTTATACATGTTAATAAGGTCACCTCTCAGTCTCCTCTTCTCCAGTCTAAAGAGGCCCAGTTCCCTCAGCCTTTCTTTGTAAGGGAGATGCTCCACTCCCTTAATCATTCTTGTGGCTCTACATTGGACTCTCTCATGCAGCTCCCTGTCCTTCTTGAACTGAGGGGACCAGAACTGGACACAGTATTCTAGATGTTGTCTCACTAGGGCAGAGTAGAGCGGGAGAAGAACCTCTCTCAACCTAGCAACTATACCCCTTCTGATACACCCCAGGATGCCATTGGCCTTCTTGGCCACAAGGGCACAAGTGCTGGCTCATGGTCATCCAGCTGTCCACCAAGACCCCAAGGTCCATCTCCCCTTCACTGTTTTCCAGCAGGGCATTCCCCAACTTATACTGATGTCTGGGGTTGTTCTTGCCCAGATGCAGGACTCTGCACTTGCCTTCATTATATTTCATTAACTTTCTCCCCACCCAATTCTCTAACCTGTCAAAGTCCCGCTGGATGGCAACACAGCCTTCCGGTGTGTCAACCACTTCTGCCAGTTTAGTGTCATCAGCAAGCTTGCTGACAGCCCACTCTATTCCCTCATCCAAGTCATCGATGAATATATCAGTACTAGTCCCAGTACTGACCCTTGAGGCAGTCCACTAGATACAAGCCTCCAATTTGCCTCTGTCCCATTAACCACAACCCTCTGCCTTCTCCCCTTCAGCCAGTTTATAGTCCACCTCACTACCTGATCATCCAGACCACACTTTCTCAGTTTACCTGCGAGGATGCTGTGGGAGACAGCATCAAAGGCTTTACTGAAATCAAGATACACCATGTTTGCTGCCTTTCCATCATCTATCCACCCAGTTATATCCACATAAAAGGTTATCAGGTTGGTCAAGCATGAGTTCCCTTTGTTGAAGCCGTGTTGACTGCCCCTAATGACCCTTTTATCCTTGGCATGTCTAGAGACAATGTCAAGGATAAGTTGTTCCATCACCTTACCAGGGATGGAGGTGAGTCTGACTGGTCTATAGATACCCGGGTCCTCTTTCTTGCCCTTTTTGAAGACCAGAGTGACATTTGCCTTCTTCCAGTCCTCAGGCATATCTCCTGATGCCCATGGCTTACCAAAGATGATGGAGAATGGTGTAACAATGACTTCTGCCAGCTCCCTCAGCACCCATGGACACATCCTGTCAGGACTCATGGACTTGTGGATGTCCAGCTTGCTTAATCGGTCCTTACCCCAGCCCTCATCAACTAAGGCAAACTCCTCCTTTATTCTGACTTCGTCTGGGGCCTCAGGGGTATGGGGCTCCTCAGGAGAGCCTCTGGCATTATAGACAGAGATGAAGACATTCAGTAACTTTGCCTTCTCTTTATCTTCTGTCACCAGGGCACCTACCTTGTTCATTAGTAGGCTACATTGCCTCTAGTGTTAGTTTTATCCACAATGTATTTGAAGAAGCCCTTTCTGTTGTCCCTGACCCCTGTTGCAAGATTTAACTCTAGGGAGGCCTTAGCTTTCCTAGTTGCCTCCCTACGTCTTTTGAAAACAGCCTTATATTCCTCCCAAGTGGCTAGTCTATCCTTCCGTGATCTGTCCACCAAGACCCCAAGGTCCATCTCCCCTTCACTGTTTTCCAGCAGGGCATTCCCCAACTTATACTGATGTCTGGGATTGTTCTTGCCCAGATGCAGGACTCTGCACTTGCACTTGAAGCATAGACTTGAAGTCTATCCTTCCTCTCACACTTGAGTTTGCCCAGCAATTCCCTGTTTAACCATGCAGGTCTCCTGGCTCTCTTTCCTGACTTCCTACCTGTTGGGATGCTCTGTTCTTGAGCTCGGAAGAAGCAGTCCTTGAATCCTAGCCAGCTATCTCAGGCCCTTTTTTCTTCAAGTACCTTGTCCCATTGGACTTACCCTAGCAAATGCTTGAAAAGGCCAAAGTTGGCCCTGTTGAAGTCCAGGGTTGCAATTCTGCTCAGTACTCTGTTCCTGCCACATGAATTCCTACACTCCACTATCTCATGGTTGCTGCAACCAAGGCTGCCCTCAACCTTCACCGCTTCAACCAGCCCCTCCTTGTTAGTGAGGACAAGATCCAGCAGTGCTCCTCTCCTAGTTGGCACGTCCACCATTTGCATCAGGAAGTTATCATCAAGATACTGAAGGAACCTCCTGGACTGCAGATGGCTGGCTGAGTAGGCCTTCCAGCAAACGTCAGGATAGTAAAAATCCCCCACAATAACCAGGGCCTGCGTTCATGAGGCTGCAATCAGCTGCCTATAGAAGACTTCGTCAACTTCCTCATCCTGATCTGGTGGCCTGTAACAGGCGCCTACAACAGTATCCCCCATGCCAGCCTGTCCCTTAATTCTCACCCACATACTTTCAGCTCATCTCTCATCCAACCCTGGACAGTACTCAGTACAATGTAGTTGCTCTTTCTCATAAAGAGCAACTTTCTCATAAAGAGCAACTCCACCACCTCGCCTTACTGGCCTATCTTTCCTGAGAAGGACATACCTGTCCATGACCACATTCCAGTCAGGTGTGCTGTCCCACCATATCTCTGTGATTGCTGCTAGATCACAGTCTCCTGATTGAACACGGATTTCTAACTCCTCTTGTTTATTCCCCATGCTACATGCATTGGTGTACAGGCACATCAGGCAGTAAGCTGAGCGCACTGATTTCACTCTAAGAGGGTGGGAGGTCTCTCAGTCTTCATCACTGCTAGAGTGCTGCTCCACTGGTTCAAGCCCAGCTAAAACACCCTCTCCCTTTGAATCTAGTTTAAAGGTTTCCAAATGATCCCTGCTAATTCCTGTCCCAGAAGCCTTTCGTCCCTGTGAGATAAACCTTTCCCACGTATTACTGTCAGGCCTGGTGTCTTATAAAACCAGACATTATCAAAGAACCCAAAGCCCTGCTTGTAGCACCAGTCTCGTAGCCAAGCATTTATGGACTGGATCCTTCTATTCTGTCCCATGTCATCACCCCAGAATGGAAGGAGGGAAGAGAAAATGACTTGTGCTCCAGACCCTTTCACCAACCATCCCAAGGCCTTGAAGTCTTTCCTAATTCCCCTCACGCTGCAGGATGCAGCTTCCTCCCCACCTAACTGGAAGATCAGTAGTGGGTGGTAGTCTGTGGAGCACACGAGGCTGGAGGGTGTCCTTGTGATATCCCTGGTCCAGGCTCTAGGTAGTTGACCCTTCAATGAAGGTCAACTCGGCATATTGGGTCCTCTGTTCCTCTCAGTAGGGAATCTCATTACATACATACCCTTCTTTCTTTCTTTCAGGAGGCTGTCTTGAGGTGTAGTGTCAGCTGCCTCTTCTGATGTGACCTCATATGTGGGCCTTCCACCACATGCTCACCTACCTCTCCTTCAAGATCCAGGGCCTCAAACCTATTACAGAGGGGCACCTGGGGAAGCAAGGTAGGTAGGGAGTGGGGTTGTCTGTGATGCCAAAGTGGGACTCACTTCCAACCCTCCTTGTCTTTTCGGTCCCCTCCCTCTGCCTGATAGCGACAGGGCAGGGGCTCCACCACCCTCTGGGGAGCATCTCCCCAGTGCCCTTCCTTCTGGCACACCAGGGAGTTAGTCCACTAGTCAGTCTCCTGCACACATGACCTGATGCCCCTCAGTCACTCCACCTCTTCATTGAGCTTAGCCACCATGGCGAGCAGACCTTCCCCCTGAGAACAGGTAGTCTCCCTGCTGCCCTGCCCCAGCAGCAGCAGGCTCAGGCCCTCCCTGCAGCCAGAGGCCTGAACAGCCACGTCTCTGGTCAGGCCCTGCATCTGGGTCTCCACAGTCTTTTTGGAGCGAGTTTTCCATGCATATATTGTGAGTTTTGTATTTGAGAGTTTTCACACAACTTGTACTAATTGCAATTGTTTTTCTCCCTGATAAGAGACTTAATTTTGTATCCTATTTTACTCTACCAAAACCAGAGACACCGTAATTACCACAGCTAGTGTAAGAGAGTGAGTCTGTATTTGTTTTCGTTTGCAAATGTGTTAGGTCTATGAATACTAAATGCCATAAGTACAAAAGTAGTGTTTATTATTAAGATATAAAATGCAATTGATCTTCTCTATTTCTACGTGAATCAGAGTCTACTTCATGTTATGTTCCAGATATGCACACTACTGAACTTTAACTAATGGCATGAGAGTAGTGATAGTGGACCAACTCTCATATGAGAGTAGTTTAACATCTCTGAGTTAAAAGACATGCAGTTGAAGAATACCCTTCATCGAGTAATTTCCTAAAGAACTTGTTTCAATTATTTTATTAAATGAAAATGAAAAAAACAAACAAAAAAAAAGGTGTGTACAAAGCGTTCAAACTTTCATTTCATGTGGAGTCTCAAAATTTCAGTGACTAAGCTATTTTGGTAAAACTTAAATGATTACTCTAGAGGTAGGAATATCTTATTTAAGGTCTTTGACTAAATGTTAATCAATTATTCAAAATTTCTTTTTTTCCTCTTCAGTTTCTTCTCACTTTCACTTTCAGAAGTTCAAACATTTGAAAGTAAAACATTGTTCTAGCCTCTGTGTTTGGATAGAATGTTTTTCATGCTTTGCCTGATATTATAGAATGTTTTTTTGAATAACCTATAAACGTTTGTTTATTAAAATCTTTTTGCACTGTAGTTTGCCCTCTACATTTTTTGAAATCTAAGTAACTAAATAATCCCTTTACAATTCAGTATTGTATGTGTACTATAACAATATGTTGAAAAGCTTAAATAGTCCAGTGAGAAATACAACACTATTACTGTGATAGCAAAAATAAAACTTAAATACAAGTAACTTTTTATTAATATTCTACCTGCTAAATCATGTTTCAACAGAAGTGAGTGCAGCTTCTAAAGCTTATAACATGGAATTACAGGGTTTGTATGCATGCTTGTAAGTGAATTTCTGTACCCAACTGGCATTTCATTAAAAATAGTGTATTAATATCTAGACATACTTAATGCTAACCATTACAGAAATTCAACAATTATCACTAGAATTATTTGTCATATTTTCAAGATAGATAAATAATAAATAGAAATATAATTTCTCCCTTTGATTAAAAATCAATGAAGCATTTAATACAGGCTCCTGCACTTTATTTTACACTTTAGCAAATGGCTTTAAGTAAAGTTCTTGTGCTTGTAATGATGGCAGCATCCTCGTTTTCTATGCATTGGAGCACTACGCTCTGTGTGGGGCTCCTATGATATTGGACTATATTGGAAGTGCTCAACCTAGGATGAGAGTAAGAATCATGAGAGAGATTTACAGATTATAAATGATATATATATGTTTTTTTTTCCTTTAAGTGGTTTAACCTTCAGCAAACCCTGTAACTCGGAGATGTCACTTCAGAGTTGGCTTTGTTCCAAAGGGAAAGGAAAATATTATGGCTGCAGTGCCATTTATCAATCAGATGTGAATCCCTCTACTATATTGCAGCTTAGATCACGAGTCCTTTCCTCTAAGCAATTAATTTGTGTGAAAGTCTAGATGTAATTCAGCTTTAGAATTTTGTGAATGGAAGTCATTAGTAGTGATACTGAATAATAAAAAAAAAATAGGTTCTGTGGACAAACTTAAAGCTCATTCTAACTATGTATATGACTATACATATGACTATGTATACAATATTTAATAAAGCTATGCACAGCCAGGCAGATGACATTTCAAGTATTAATTCCTAGTTGATTTATCTTAAACGTGTGCATGTACAGATATATATATATATATATATAACATACTGCTTCACTTTGGAACTTTATATTCAAAATTCTGAAAGCTAATGAAGGTTGTGTGGGGGAATGATGTAAAAATTTAGAATCTCTCTTGACCAAAGTAAAAGTGTGTAGTCTGCAGTCTCTGTAGATCTTACAGCTCCCAGCGGTTTCATGCTTCGGTTGACTTGATTTTAATTGAAGAAGATTATTGGCACAATTGGAATATATCTGGCACACATTTGAAAAGCTGGGAGACCAAAATAGACTTGAACAAATGAGAGACAGAAAGACTTTATGGATCTTAAACATTTTAGGGAGTGGTGGCAGAGAAGGAGAGAAGGAAGGACTTCCCTTGTGGTCTAGTAATTTTATTTCTGAATGTTCACTGTCTGAGGCATCATTTAATATAATTGTCACTTATGCTATGCCTGACTATGAGATATGTTTTTTTTTGTTTATTTGTTTGCTTGTTTGTTTGTTTGTTTGTTTTTTTGGGGGGGGTGTTGTTTGTTTTTCTTTTTTCCCTCTCTCCCTCTCTTCAACTGAGAGACCTGTGACTGGTGATGTGGTAATGGTTGGTAGCTGTCTGCATAGTCTTTGCAAGGTTTTTTAGTGCTTCTTATCTCTATCACATTTAAAATATTTTTATCGCTTTGCTTACAGAAGTAGAAAGCAGGAGAAATGAACTTCACTGCACACAAAGGTAATAATTTTATATACTCTGTCTGTTCTGATGCGGTGCTATTTCCACTAGGCTGAGTAAGAGAATGGAGCATCTAAAGAAGTTTAAGAATATGAACCTTAAAAAAAACTTAATGGTAAATACTGAGGAGGAAGAGCAACTACTTAAACTAAGCAATAATATGAAATATATAGCAGTTATAAATTGGTCAGGAGTATATTTAAACTGGAAATTAGAAGGGCGATCAAAAGAGCAAACATAAAATGACATTTCACTTATGATAGGGAGGTCAAAAAGATAAGATGGTCTAGCATGGAGACTGATACATTTTTGGGAAGAATTATGGAAATGCTTGGGGGAATTTCAGGAGATAAATTCACAGTGGGGAACACTGAACCTAGTATATCCAGCGTGAACCAGTGTTTGTTTTATTGTCTTACGTTGTGTACATGCAATGTTTAAAGGTTTGTTAGCTATTTGTGATGGAAATGAGAGGAAATAAATTTTTTACCACCTGCTGATTTGTAATTTGATCACAAAGATCAAACACTTATGTTCCTATATTTGCTGCCTTTTAAAATCACTGCATGTTCCTATAACTGGTTTGTAGAGGCCTTGTCTCCACCAACACATGAAGTTGCAAAGACTTTGCAGATTCACATAAATTTCAAGTCAGAAACTGTTTCTGCTTCCTCTTCCCACCAATGTGTTCCCCCCCCCTTATAAGCTCCAGGCAGTTACATGTATATGATAACCATGGTTTTGTTTGCATTTTCTGTTCTATTTTGCTTTCTAGGTTGGGGTATATTTTGTTTTCTCGAGTTCATAGAGACATGTTAAATTTTTATTTATTTATTTATACTGTGATGCCTTTGTTTTTTCTTCCCTATATTGCAGGGCCTTCAGCTGGAGATGTTCTTAATATTTCCCACTGACAGTTCATTGTATATTATCTCCAAATTCTACATTTTTCACCTTTTAATATAGGTCCTGTATTTCTTGTAGTATGTTCAGAAGTGTTTGATAAACCATGTTGAACAGTGGGTGCAGTAAACTCTCAACCAGGAACCTGTGTAAAGAGGAAAAATAATTGTTCAGCATATGAGGGTAGCAATTACTTTTATGGGAATCGATCAAGGTACTTCCACAGATTTTCTGGTTTACTTTCAACTAAAGACTAAACCATTATGTAGACTAAATGGTGTGCACTGCAGTCACAGCAATATGTATTCCTTCAGCTGATGGCAAATAACCAGAACTTTAAGCTCCTTGAATGAAAAATATGTGCCTTTTTATAAGAGATACATACAAAGCAAAAAAAAAATAATGACAGAAAAGATGTTGAAAACAGGAAAGGCCATAGAACAGAAAGAGATGGAAAATATGTTCAATGATACAAGCTGGCTCTTGAACAAAACAAACAAACAAACAAACAAACAAAAAAACAGAGGGGAAGATCGACACGACAGAACCACTCTAGATTTGCTGAAATTAAAATCGTAGTAGAATAAGCTGAAAAATCACTGAAAAACAAAGAGCACCTATGTGTACTCTTCACACAGTGAATGTGGTCAATGTTTTAATCTTTGCCTTCCCCACAGCTTGCTTTACATCCTAGGACAGAAATGTTGGTAGTAGTAAGCTGCAGGACCACAACAGGACTGTTAATGAGTTGGATGTATACACTGTGTTGTTGTATACTGTGCAGATCAGAATAACTGATTTTGCAGTAATTTTGTTCAAAATATTTGATTTTTTGCTGGGTAGCTTTCTTCTGTAATTCATGTAGTATTTGAGACTTGCTCTTCAGTTAAAGTATTGGGAAAACATAATAAGACAAACTCCTAGCATGTTGGTGGAAGTAGTCTGCCTTTTATGTACCTTTTTTGGTGTTCTTTTGCAGGGGTGGGGATGGTTTTTGTTGTTTTTTTTTTTTTTTGGCATTCTACCTGAATCAGTGTGCTCTCACTTTCAAATCACATTCCTAAAGTTGTTCAAAATTCTTTTGAAGTGTTTATGAACACCAGTGACCGTTTTATTGAGTAACTTTAAGAATCTGTTCTGCGAGTGTTTTTCTATGTCATGAGCATGCAATGTTGTAACTTATATATATAATTATAGAATCATTAAGGGTGGAAAAGACCTCCAAGGTCATCTAGTCCAACTATCCCCCTACCACCAATATTACCCACTAAACCATGTCCCAGAGTACCACATTAACCTTTTCTTGAACACTCCGAGGGATGGTGGCTCTATCGCCTCCCTGGGCAACCTGTATTTCACTTCTTTCTAAGAAGTGTAGTAGTGGTTGAAATTCTTATTTAAATATTTTGTTTTGGAAATGAATATTCTTTGGGACAAGCTTTATGTGACAATGTGTTAGCTTTGGAATGATAGTTTTAAGATACAATTTCATGCTTTGAAATGAAAGGCACTAATTCCCATTTCTTAGAAAAGCAAGTAGAGTGGACTTGGCATGAAGCTAGACTGGCGGAGACCCAAGTCCAATTACCTGTGTCTAACTACCTGCCTCAGGTCTCCCAGCTTCCAGACAGATATCAGCCATTTGCTGTTCTGGAATAGTGTTGTTCTCTCCTTTTATCTTTATTTTCATTTTCCTCTTCATATTTTTCGCCTGATGCATTGAGAGTAATATACAGAGGAAAACAGCAGTAACTGACATGGGACGGAAAACGTGCTTATATGTATTTCTGTAGTAAATGTAGCAATACACATATACACCTGTAGTAACTGGAGAATATCTTCTTTCATTTCCACACAGGTTTCAGCTCTTTATTAGGGGACAAAATATAAAAAAAGGAAGAATGAGGAAGGAGCAATAAAAATAACACAAAGCTAAAACCCAAAATAGTTCATCCTTTGGTAAGTCTAGAAGTGCTTCAAACAGAATTTATTTGGTAGTCATAGTACGCTTTTTTTTTTTTTTTTTTTTTAACCATAAACCAGAAAATATATTTGCAGACGGCACTGTTGGTTCTTTACATGTGAATATATCTGGTGTGTAGTGTGTCACAATATAAAATTTCCCCCTTTTTCCTTTTTTTTTTTTTTTTTTTTTTTACCATTGTAAGGTACTAATGTAACATTACTTGGGAATCTATGGACTAACGTGACAGAAACATGTTTGAATTTTCCTTTTTAAGACCAAATCGACTACTATAGTCAAGGAGTATATATAGTTAAAGGTATTTTTTCATTCACTAGCAAAATGCTTTCAAAAAAAAGTGATAAAAATTATTCTACTCTGTGGGAGCATATAGGCAACATGAGTCTAAGCAGACACCGTGTCAGTTTTGATTTCACTCTTCTTCATTATTTTTCAGTATTAAAGTTGAGAGCTTATTGCCGATGAAAGTGAGCATCATGCACTGAAATGTCAAATTTCTAAACTGGTACTTCCCAATGAAGTTTCCTCCCTTTTTGTCTGTCTTGAAGAACAAAGCGTCGGTGGGTAGAGGGCTGTTGTGTTGTCAGTTACAAGGAGAAGGCTGAGCTCCACGCAGGGTTTCTGCTAGTTTGCAGCTATTAGGATGCTCTCGCTAGTCAGGTAGGGGAGATAGAATTGACATCAAGGAAACAGAGACTTTCAAAAGTGAAAGATTACTAAAACTTTGTAAGATACTTGGATGCCTGGCTTTTTTAGGGGAAAGATAAGTGGCCAGGTTAGACAACCTGGTTTAGGGTGATGAGGGTGATAAAAGTATAGTGCTGCTACTTATGAAGTGGCTATCAGACCTCTGTGAAATACATTCTTATCAGATGTATTATTTTCTCTACCCACATGCTGCAGTAAAGAATCCTGAAAGTAAATTTGCAGGTTCCTTATTCATGTGTTTAAACACCAAAGGTTGTACTGGCCTAAAGTACAGATCTTGTTTACTAGATATTGGAAGTCTACCTTCTGTTCTGAATATGTTTTTCTGTCCTGGGACAAAGAGTAAGGATTTTTCTTCTAGCGAAGATGATTCTCAATCTCATTACAATGTAAAACACACTGTTTTGAAAGGCTTTCTGCCACAGTGATCGTTACGTTGTGATTCTGTGTCCCGCTGTTACTAGCTAAGCTACACCAAGCTGGGGATGAAATTCGCTGGCCTAGGTCATAGTTTTCCACTATGTGAGCTGCAGAAACGATATGTAAATTGCTCATTTATGGGTGATTGAATGTTTTACATGTTTGCTGGTGTCAGACGAGAAAATCTTTCAAAAATGTCTGGCAGTAGTGAACAGATACTGGAAAAAAAGCATTTGCTCTTATATGGCAGTGTTCTAAGATGTATGTAGAGGTGTAAGCTTAGAAAATGAATCTAAGAGGTAGGATATGTTATTTAAATTATATGCGTATGTACCTATTTAATATTATATTATCTTGCAATATAAGACATCTATGCCTAAAACAAACAAAATCTATGCTTTAAAACAAAAAACCACAAATGCTTTCCCACAAGTTTCCAGCTATGAAGTTGGCTGAACATAAAGGAGAGGCTGGGGGGAAGTACGTGAATAATACTTAATTTTTTCACAGGGTTCAAAACAAAAAAATACATGCATGCTTTTCTTCTACTTCTTACTTAGCAAGTGTAGGTCATGGTTTTTGCTTGTCTAGTTAGTTGGATTATTTTCATTGTTTGTATTCTCCTAAGCATATGTGCTTTCTGTACTCTTTCAACTGATGTTGAATTGGATAAGCTGCTGCTGTCTGTCTTGAGCACGATTCATTATGACCAGAGCCTGAATAATCAATGAATTTCATGAATTCCTATGTGTGTACTGAAGCAGTAGATATTATTCAGAAAGTAATATTTTGTGATTAAGATAACATTAGTTAGTATTCTGTCAATCACTTTATGTTCCACGTACAATTAGAAGTTCACAGCAAAAGAGGTAGGGCATTCATCTTAGGAGCAGTACTGTGCAAAATAGTTCTAGTTATAAAAGTAATGAAATAAGAGATTTGAATGTTAGAAATGTATTGCAAATCTATTTCATGAAAGTTAACAATATGATTATATGTAACTAGCAGATAACTTTCCATAACCTCCCAACAATTTCATTTCTGTTTAAATTGTACCACATCTGTACGTTTGACCAGCTTAGTTCTTCCTCTATTATTTAGTACTAAAACATAATTCCCTTCAGGGTAATATCCTGACCGTAATTGATTCTCTCCTCTCATTTGTTTTATAACCTGTTTTGTTTTTCATTAAAGAAAATATTCTGTTTCAGTCTGATTATCTGAAAGACAGATGGATTTAGCACTTTTGTAGACATTTCATAATGCTGTCTCTTGATCTTGATGACAGTTTCTATTGGTAAACTATGAATGCAATTACTACATTATTCGTAAGTGAGATTAGTATGTTTAGTATACCTTCAAGTTTTCATGAGTATTTTAAGTTTTCCCTTGAGTCTCATCACAATAATAGATAAGGAAATACCTATAAGAATTGTGTTAATAAGAAAGTTAGTTGTAGAGAATTCAAGCAGATATTGTTGCAAGACACTGAGATGATATTCCTGTTGAAGTATTTTCTCATGTCATATAGGTATTTAGTATATTTAATGTATAAAATATACTAACAGAGGCGAATGTATAAAATATGCTAACAGAGACAATCAGTTTATACATGCACTATAAGCATATATGTGTGTGATATGTTTTGCTAAACAAACTGCATTGTTACATATCTTTCTGAATTTGCAGTATACGTGAGTATGTATTAGCATCAAAGCTCTGGAGCTATATTTGAATGATGAAGTTACCAAAACAAATAGGAAACAGGAGACAGAATAACAGATGAATGCCATATTCAGGAAGATGAGTCCTTCGGTAACATGTTTCTGTGTTCCTTCAAGAGGGGACATGGGTTGGGTAGGAGATGATCAAAAGGGAATGAAATGACACATCCACAGTGGGATCAATCTTTCCTTTTATCACAAATAAACACATTCCTCTAGACATAGGAAACTAATAAGCAAGCAGAGCTGAAAGGGGTTCTAACAGGAATTCTAATCTATCATTAAAAATGTGGTAGATACTGCATGTTGGGACAGAGACTTTCATTACCTCAAAATGTTTATGTATCTTAGATCTAGATAGACATGAAACAAAACTAAGACATAAGAAGCCAGACTCTTACCAGACCTAAATCAAATATTAAGTTAGGAATAAAATGCAAGTGAGAAGTCTTCTGGCATATTTTACTTTGAGGAGTTGCTTAGTTGCTTGAATGAAGGTTGAAGATGTGGAAAATAATGTAAAAATGAAGTGGGTTTAGCTATTCTGGAATCTTCATGCAACAAAGGATATCTTTCTTGTACCCTGTGTTGTGTGTGTGGGTTTTTTTTGTTGTTGTTGTTGGTAGTTTTGGTTTTTACTTTTATTTTTAAGAAGATACATATTAACTAATCTTCAAAGATGCATTATTACCTATATTGGTGTTAAAAGTATTCCATGGAGCATGAATGAATTCCCTTTTGTCACCCTTGACCAGGTTAGGAAAAGCACTCAGAACATGCTAATTTTCTGTTGTTCCACTCTAGGAAATGTTTTCAAGACTTTTGTATTGCTTTTTATTTTTTTCTTCTGTCTTCCTTCCTTTTCAGTATTGATGTCTGTTTTGTTTTGCATGTACTTTCACCTTTACATAAATAAGTAAACATTACTTATCCAAAGCCTATTAAAACAGGAGTAAGGAAGTGCTAGCCTTTTGCAGGTTTTATGTATGCTAAAGTTTGAATAGTGAAAACTTCATTTACTATACAGATTTGTGTGGACTGAAATTAAATTCCCTATAATGAAATTCATTTTCATGCAGGAGAGTGTTCTTACCTAAAAATCCTTGTCTCTGTGTAAAGAAATCTAGTGTATAACATGATTATTAATATGAAAGCATGTAATTAAGCCAACTGATATGACATAGATGAGTTGCTGAAACACTAACTCCAGGGAGTCTTCATCATTTCTAGCCAAGACAAAGATGTAATCTTGTGATTACTCTCATCTGATTCTAGAAATAATCAGTACAAACCAGTATGGGTGGGCCGCAAACTCAAATGTACCTCAGTAATGTAGAAGATGCTAAAATCAAAAATACAAGAGAGGAAATAAATGATCTCTAAGACTGAAATTTCCTTATTAAATAGAATAAAAAGATTTTGAGACGAGTGCATTAGCTGAATTAAAGAACTAGGGAACCAAAGCTGAATGGCCAGGCTGGTATATACAAATTATAGACTTCTAGACTTATTTATTTTTTTCCAGAGGGTTATAATTTCAAATAGTGGAAATAACACATATTTAACAAACAAACCTAAGCCATACAGACATTAAAACTTTGTCAGAAGACAAATTTAGAGCTGACACTATTTAAGTGGTATCTCATCTTGAAGGCTCTTGGTTAGCAATAAAATTGAGATAAATTATTAAATGTAATAACTAATTACATTATTATCTACCCACTCAAGTGTTTGTAATTGTCTTTACTGTCAGAGTAGGCACAAAATGACACAACAAAATCCAGAGATTCAGAGTAGTTCTCAAAGAAGAAAACTGCAGAGAAATTTTGACTTGCTTGTGCGTTTTTCATAGGCAGTGGATATACCTGAGAACATAGTTGCAGTTGCCATGGAACCTTCCAGTGAGACTCCACAACCTGCAGAGTTGCATGGCACCTCTCAAGAGAAGGGGATATAAAGTGCTCCTATCTGTCAGAAGCTGCAGCATGTGCTGGCACAGATTTCCCACCCTCTAGTCGTGGATCCTCTTGTGCCAAAATGAAAGCCTGGTGTCTTGTGAGTAGGACCTACTCAATGAGTCTCCAAAGTGTAGTTTAGAGGTGATCCCTTTTGAAAACCACCTG